TTTTTTGGAAATAGTTATCGATATAGGGCACATCGAGGCGAGGGTGAGTCATTATAAGCAGTCGAAGTCGCATAGTAGCAGTCGAAGTCGTGTGTTCTGCTAGTTTTTTTAACAGTTACTTTAATATGAAATAAAAATCCAAAGAAACCCTCCTTTCAATCGTCTTGTATTCAGCCCTTTTTAACGTCCCACTGCTGAGCTCGGGCCTACCTTCAATACGAGGGGGATCTGGCCATAGTCCACCACGCTGGCCAAGTGCGTGTTGGCAAATTTCACATGTGTTTCGAATACTTGCTAGGTACTTTCAGACATGCAGGTTTTCTCACGATGTTTTCCTTCACCATAAGGCGAGTGGTAATCATGTTAGAAATGATTCGCACATGAAAATATCGGGATTTGAACCCGCTTCACTAGGTTTCCCGACCGAGCGTGTTACCACTGGTGTACCACTGCCTTGATGCCTGATAATATGAACGAATTTTAGAACCTCACTTTTTTTCGTTGTCCACTTTACGTAAATTGCCTCATATATTTAATACAAAAAAAGAAACTTTTAAACAAGTAAACAAATGGGCTTTTAGTAAAAAACGGTCTTATGACAAGAAAATGGTGTAAGTCTTTGTAAAGGTTTCATTTCTTTAATTTTTATTCCTATCAGGAAATATCAATAGCAGAAAATAGTATGGTTATCTGACGGTTGGGAGTGGGTCAGTGGTGTGGGGACGAGTACTCCCGATACTGACGCTCGCCTATAGAGCGGGTCTTCCTTTAAATATATATAATATTTGTAGGCAATATTTCATGACGAATTTTGAAAAAAATCTTTTTAGCTTTTTTATTTATTTATTTTACTAAATATTAGTTTTTAAAATTTATTTACCAAGTATAAACATTTCACAGCAAAGATAATTGAATATTTATTTAATTATATTAAAAATCTAAGTATACTATTTTCTAGTCGTGGAAATTGAAGAATTTATGGGAAGCCGTTAAAGGTTCGATCAATAAACAGTTCATGATTGATGACTTTAACTGCGCGTAGGCACTCGGTGTTGAATAATCATTCATTTGCTACTAGAGAGCAGTTATGCCGCTAGATTTTCAAAACACTCTTGTGGTAAATATAAGTTCGTTTCAGTGTTTTGTTCGTACTATGTTTGTGTATAGGCTTTATATGAGTATTATTCACAATTATTTGTATGTAACAGTATCATACATTACCGTTTATTATTGATAGTTATTATTGTATAATGTATAATGAAGTAACAGGTCAGCTTTTAGACGCTTATAGTAAATGGACTTATTTGCGATAAACATCTTGGACGAGTGGACAATTTTATTTTATATTAACATCCAGTAAGAATCCATTTTCATGACCCCATCTCCAACTTGAAACCGGTTTCAATGACCTAGCTGACGTACATACTGGCTACTAACTAGGTAATAATGTCCTCCTGACTGATTTAGGCCACGGCACCCAATCTCAAGACTAGCCAGATGCGCAGGATATATCATAGTGTACAAGTGAACGCGCAAACACGCACTTTCTATTCCTTTAAACTCTCAAAGTCCGATGGGACGATACATCGACACGATACGGTACGAGTTAAGGCGCAGGACTGCTTTAAGTTTAAAGCTTTAAACTTTAAAGCTATATCAAATATTCGATATAATCGCAATTGATTGAAATAGATACGTCATTGAAACATTAAAAAAACTTGTATTATCTGTGGCAGAATTTTAGCTAATTAAGTCTGTAAAATTTACGGTGCTTTAGCTTACGGAACAAAACCCAACAGCACGGTTTGTATATTTCACGTCGATATTCTGTATGAGGGCAGTACTTCTCCGGTCGAGCCGGCTCATTCATGCTCAGTTTCGTATGAATGCTTGAAATTAATGCTCATAAATACCTGATTCCAGTTATTTTACCAACTTTCTATAATTATATCTACTTTGTCTAAGTAATAATAATTTGCCTTAGTAACTTTGTCGTACCTATTTATTATTTTTATTGTTTACAAACGAATTACTCTGGCTTTGCTCGGGTACGTCCCTAGGTACGTTTTAATTTCTTTGAGCGGAACTCTAATTCTTTTTCTAAAATAAAAATAGCCTAAGTTACTCCGTGTAATATCAGCTCTATGCCAATGAAAGTCCTGTCAAAATTGGTCCAGCCGTTTCGGAGATTAGCTTATTCTAGTTTGTAAATGGTCAATTACCCATACTGTATTTATAGTTAAAGATTTAAAATTTAAATTTAATACCAAAATCGATCAAAAATTAACAAAATATCGATAAATTAAAAAAATTATAATAACACAAATAAATTCTACGGGAAATAATTTCAAAAGAAAAGTTATACTTTTACGTATACCTACCTGCTAACGTTTTAATAACATAAAATTTCAGGTTTTAATTTTTTGTTCCCAAATCGGTTTCCGATAGGACTACGCATTTTCATGAACAACGATAAAATACATACAAAGAAAACTGTCAACTTTTGTCATAGTACCTCCGTTTATTTATTGCAAATATTAATATTAGTTTTATGATACCTAATGTAAGTATAACTAATGCGAAAGGTTTTTGTGGATTTATTTTAACTCAATGACGTAGGTACGGAATTCAAATTAGTATATAACTTTACCACTTATTTATACAACCTTATTATCACAATACTTCTACAGAAAGAAGATAAGACAACTTTTAATTAATATATATGTTTCCATTCTTCCTTTCAATATAATTACTTAATCAAATTTTAATTGTAAAGATTTCCCTAGACGAATTTAATCTTATTCGCTCACCGATGGGACCCTTATCTATATATATATATATATATATATATATATATATATATATATAATAAATTTGTAACTAAGCCAAATCTGATGCAGAGGCCGAATCTATAGTTTTTATAATTTTTGTCTGGACGTGTAGGAAAGCATTACGAGAAAACCACTGGACAGATTTTGATAAAATTTGTTATGATGATAGCGGATTTCCAAAGTCAACACACCTATAAGATACTTTTTACTGTGGGGAGATATATCATCTCTGAAAAATCTATACCACTAAAAACATTTTTACGTAAAATGTTGCTAAGACGAGGCCATATGGCTCGCATTGTCAAAAAGTTATTAGATCTCATGTAGAGCCAAGCTTCTAACTCTGCACGCCCTAATTCTACAAGCCTTAACTTCACAAATTCTATACCATAATCAAAATATGTGGCTTGGCCGTTCAGACCTCTAGGATCAATATGCGGAAGTCTCACACCAACTTCCATCCCCTAATTTAAGGGTTTGGGGGGTAAACGTTCCAAGTTTCAGATTTTTTATGTTGTGTATGTACTAATACTACTACTACTACTTACATATCAAATTTCAGCTTTCTAGGACTTCAGAAGGGACTCTTAGAATTTTGATGATCATCATTGAGTCATTGACGTAATCGGAAATTTTTAGATATCAATAATATCTAAAGTATAAGAGCTAAAGCAAATAAAACTTTATATATTTAATAAATCCACTATTGACATCATATCCCGGTAATTTTGTTTATTTGGCATATTCTAAACCCAAATTATGAGGCTTCAGAAAACCACGAAGCGCTTTGAAAAAAGGTAGATAGAGCCCTTGCGCTTCGCTTTGCTCGTCTAGCGGGGGCACTACTATGCCCCTAGATACTAACCGTTAAAATGTATGTAGGGACGAACCCGAGCGGAGCGAGGGTGAGACCATACTAATATTATAAAGAGGCAGTTTGTTTGTTTTATGAAAAATTCTTATTGCATTAGATAGCCCATTTATTGAGGAAGGATATAGGCTATATATTATCATCATGCTTCTACCAAGGGAGTAATCATATTAAGTGTCAACAAATCGGGCAAAAACAAATTCATTCATTTCAAAAGATATGTGAAGTCCATCAACTCGCACTTGGTTAGAATCGTGGACTAGGGCCTATTTCGCTTTGAATTGAAAAGCTAAATACATATACGTCAATTTTTATATATCACATTATAGCTGCTATTTTTTGTGCTTGAGAGAATTTTTTTATTCTATTAAACACGAATCACATTCTATATGGGAGCACGTAGAATATGTAGCGCGTGCTATATCTTTGAATCTCCTCAATCTATTTAAAAATAAGCTAGCTATGTTTTATACAGATCTACCTATTTAATAAGAAAAGGTCTATTGAATCATCAGTCCTTTTTAGTGTTAGTACTAAATAGGTATTAACTAGGTAAATTACTAAATTAACTTCTATGAGGTACTTTCCAAACTCTCCTCAAAAAATTCTTTTCCAAAAAATTCAACGTTAGACGACCGCTTTGAAATTTTTATTGAGTGTATGAAGAAACAGTAGGTAACATTTCTTTTTATCGGTGAAAATATTTCGAACATTGGCCAAAGTAGTTTGTATCTAGCCTCTTATATAAAGGGTTACTTCAGCTCAGCCTGGTATTTAAGGTTCAAAAGTATAATACAAGATTTAATATGCTTCGAGTCTGGTTAAAAAGAGTCTCTCTCTCTCTCTCTTTATATCTAATATATAGCAACTTTGCCCAAGTAAATAAAAAGTTAACAAGTTATTATAAAAATAAACCATTAATATGAAAAAGATCTTATGCCTACCTACTAACTGTACTTAAGATTTCTTTTTAAAGCTATAGGGTACTAATAACCCCTACTAAGTTTGCAGCCAATTTTCTTAGAATAAAATATTTTTCTAGTAATTATTATTACATTTTTTTACTTCTTGAGTGCACTAATTATCTATTGACTATGAGTAAATTTATCTTCTATGAAGGTTCATGACGTTATTTTATTATGGTCTTCCAAATTTGTGTGTTATTTGTCAAAATATTAGGTTTTATAATTTGTTGATATTTTGCTAGGCCTAAATTGGATGAAAATATCTAAACTTCAAGAGTTTCGTAGTGTTTATTTTCAAATTGCATATTGTAAAATTGAATAAATAAGACTTACATTAATGACGACCCGCTCGCAAAAGTCGTGGTCATGTTGAATAGGTTCGAAGGTAACGACGCCGCCTTGAGGTGGGCGGCCCTGCTCTTCTTCTTGACTGCACAATTTCGGCAGCGACCTTAAACAAAATTACACACATATATTGTATATAAATAGAAAGTAAAAATACAGTTTTATTTCAATTAATATTTTAGACGTAATTTTAATTATGTTACCAAATATATTAATTTTCAAGCAAATGAATTTTGTGCACTCTCTATGCATCGCCTTCATTTCAGACTGAATCTAATAAAACCTACAATCTTCTTTAAAATGTTAATAGCTTCTCTGGGGTTAAGTAGCAATCAATCAATCATGCCAATTAAGAATTTGATGTTTGTGTATTCCTTTTTTCGAGATTTTGGCAATGTCTTCTCGATAGTAACTTGATCAAATGCCAGATTGCCAAATAGATTAATACTAAGAGTAGTTATATAAATCATAGACCATTAGATAATCGGAAAACCAAGTGCATAATTATGCTTCAATAGTCCAGCTATTTATTATGGAAACTGCGTCGATGCGTATAATTGTTCTAATTCAACAATTGGTCCACGTATTTGCATGGAGGCATTGTTCCAACTACGGTTAAATGCACGTAGAGCCGTACAGGTAAATAGAATAACGGTATCGCGATTCATATGTATATAAGCATATCGATATGTTATTGCTTATATTTTAATTTGCCGTAAAATACTTTTGGGTTGTTTCTTACATTTATTTATAAATATACGTACATAAAATAAATAATATCGTTATATATAATAATAAAATATGCACTTTGATTTTATCGTAAAAACATTTATAATAAACTACCATAACCCGCGGCTGCGCTCGCGCTAAAACTACAAAAAAAATTCCAAAAAGTAGGTTTCATGCAAACTTTCATCCCATATTTTACCCTCTTATGGGATGAATTTCAAAAAATAATAAAACATGAATTTATTTAATTGTATTGAAGAGCATTAATACCAAGTTTCAAGTAATTCTCTGATCATAAATATTTTTTTGGTTGTATTATAACGTGTTAATCCGTGGGAATGAGATAATCTCCCGCGTTAAAAAGTATTATACATCACTTTCCTGCCCTCCAACTATCTCCACACAAAAAATCAGGCCAATCCGTCCCTCGGTTTTAATGTGAAAGAAGGACAAACAAACAAACAAACATACTTTGACATTTATAATATTAGTAAGTATATGGATGTATTGCATTCAGCACTTTTTAACGTCCCACAGCTGGCCAAACTTCAATACGAGGAGGATTGGGCTACTTGATTGAGATCTATCACTGGCGAGATGCAGGTCTTCCGAAAATTGGCTAGATTTCCCAAGTGAGTGCGTTAACACTGGGCTACCACTGTCTTTTATATAATATATATATTATACACATTTTTGATTTTACATTTACCGTACTACTTAGTTAAAACGAAATAAATATTTTACCATTCAGAAATACATCTGTAAATTTTTTATTCCAAACAATAAAATGTACACAAATTATATATTCATAATTGTTTTTAGAACAAAAGTTGATTCATGTTAAGACTAAAACAGTAAAACACATATATGTGAGTGGTGAATAGCTTACTTAAATGCACTCGTAATACATTTTACGCTCTGCTATACGAGTATTAACAAAAAGCTTATAAGTTTTCATATAAAGTACGCGACCTAGTTTCCCAGTTATGCCATTTTTATTGGAGAAAAACAGTCTGGCGACAAAGTCCTCTAGAGATGGTCCCTCTATTGAATCAAATGTTATTCTTGTCTTGAGAAATCCCATATACAGCTCTTGTTTTAACCGGGACGTGTCCCCGTTCCGACATTCTTTAGCGTCGTATTTGTAAAATACTACACAAAGAGACTTAATTGTATATCTGCAAGTGTTTTTCATTTATTTGGTTATTACACACATTTTATCTAATAAAGACATATTTCATATGAAAATGTGTAGATATATGTAGATTATATGCATTTTATTTTATGCAAAAAAATAACATTATTTCTCATAAAAATTTAATCAGGAAAGATGAAGACATTGTCGTTGAAATTGCGCCTTTAAGGAAACAATTCTAGATTACATATTTCAAGATTTTCATCCTGTTTTTTTAATAAATTTTCACCACCAGTACCCATTGAAGGGGCGTTGGAGTATTGCAGCGTGCTGATCTCAGTACTTGAAGGCTCAAACTGAGTATCACATTGACACCTCTTAAGACAATGTATCTCTAAACGAGAATTTCCATCTTCATGAAGAAAATTACTGAGATAAACTGTTGCTCGATTTTGTTAAGGTCTTGGAGACATGCATCTCTAATTATTATATTTTAGACTCACAGAACCCGCGTCTTCATCCACGATCATACATACTTTGTGATTTAAGAAATAAATCCATGTTTCATATTATTTCTTAAAGGTATATGGAAAACAAATTAACTGTTTGTGACCGTAACTCAAAATATCTAGTATCTTAAAAGATTTTCAACGTAAGAATATTCTGTAATTTTTATTTTTTATGTTAGGTATTTAACAAACTCTCGACTGCCTCTATTTTTTGCACATTTTTCTACTATGTCTTTCCAAAGTTAGAGTAAGAGAGTACCATTGTACTCTCATTTACAAGTTGTATCATTATATAACTCGCATAAAATGTTTACGACTTTAGAATCATATAACTCGGCTAATATGGGCTTGTTAACTTACATACTAATAGGCTAACATCTATGTTATTTTTAAAAACCTAATGTTATATACACCTGAAGCTTACAGTTTCCCTCCTTCTCCTTCTTTTTTATGCTATAGCTTTTTATCCGCGGCTACGCTCACGTGGACAAAAAAATTGCACTGAATTTTAATCCCCATTAATTTTATATGTTGTCATATCGATTTTTTAATATTATGTGTTCATTTATGTAATCACTCTAGATTCACTTAACTTAGTCTACGCTAAAAAGCCGACCACAAATATACCACAGTGGTGGATGTTCTGTCTAGTTATGGGTTCTGCTAAAACGTCCCTGTGAGAAGCATTCCTCTTTTAAGTCTATGCCTGCTACTTTTAACAACTGGCCCTGAGATATATTAATGGTCATTGTAAAGCAAACTTTAAGAAGGAGTTACAAAAGATGAAATTCAAAGGCGTAGTCAGAGGTTCTCAGTGGTATTCGAAGTATGAATACTGATAAAATTAAACATTATAAAAAGAACAGTAAACGTCGCGGTTGTAACGTCTGAATTAAAGCGAGAGCTTATTTTTTATTTGTCAGTATTTCACAATAACAGTTTACTCATATCATAAATATAATGATCGCGTCAAAATATTTTTGCCTGTATTATCTATACATATAAGAAAATTCTCACCTAGTCGAATCTGTACATTAAATATTTTTATTGAAAATCTTATCGAAATAGTCATATCGACACAGAGGCCGAAATTATACTTTTTAGAATTTTAGAATTTTTGTCTGTCTGGAAACGCATCATGGAAAAATCACTGGACAGATTTTGATGAGGTTAGATGATAGCTGGTTATTCGGGTCAAAATATAAGATAATTTTTAGTGCAGGAAATTTAAATGTTAAAACGTAACTAGGAACGAACCCGAGCGGTAAGGGTGAGTCGCTAGTACTATTATAAATTGTATTATGACTGGAATCGACGGATGATTTGTTTAAGTCATAACTATTTTCGATCTCTACATTTTAGCTTCGCTTTATGTGTAATATTACTTTTGTTTATACAATAAATACTATTAATATTGTATATAATTTTTAGAGCTTTTAATTTAATGGGTATAGTTAAATAATAATTTAGAGAAAATGCCCTCGTATATCAAAAAAAAATTATAAAATTTAAATGTTGATTGGTCATTCGGTCGGGCTGATTAGGACAATGACTAAAACAAAAACACATGTAGGTACATATTTATATTACAATTTCAACAGTTACAAAATATATACTGCACTAATTGTTCAATATTTCGTTAATAGTAGAATATCTATACTTATAATATTATAAAGAGGTAAAGTTTGTGAGTTTGTGAGATTGTGAATATGTGACGTTGTAGGGGGTAATCTATGTATTTACTGAACCAATTTAGATGAAATTTGGTAAGAAGATAGTTTAAGACCCTGGGAAGGATATAAGATAATTTTTATACCGAAAATATTCCTTTTAGGGGCTGAAAATGGGGATGAAAATTTGTATTGCAAAGAATTGTTATATGCCTATTGTAAATTATAATATACATACATATGTAAGTATATAAGCATATATTCATTTATGTATATTTACATAGATTTTAAAACTATGTATATGAATTTGAACTGTCCCGTTTCCACTTCTTCAAATCCTTTCACTAAAGGTTGCCTGACAAAGAAGTCCCCCTAAGGCGGGGGGAAGAGATGTCGGGTTTTAGTGCGTAGTACCGGCTCTTCTAGCCGGTGAGCCCCACATCACCACCTGGGGAATCAGGTGGTATGCGTAAATGCATTTCCCGACAAAAATACACTGAGAAACTAGATTTAAGCGTTGCAGCTTTTCGTTTAATTGTTATAGCGAGAGCAAATATCACAGCGTCCTAAAACAGAAATGTGAAATATGCTTTTTGTTATTACGGTCCGTGAACATAAATGATGGCAATATTTCGAATTAATATTTTATAGTATTCGAATGTAAATAAAATGTAAGTTTCGATTATTTTGATAAGCTTCTGTGAGTTTGTTAATTTATAATATTATAGTCGTTATTAAATTTGACATATTACATGACTAATATGAAAAATAAATGTAGCAACATTTGCTGCACTGGTAATGATGCAAAGAGTATTTTAGGCCCTCTTTATTGCATTAGCTCGAACATTGTTGATTTTAGAGATTGCTATCGGCTACACGGTAAAATTATACGTCCAAATATAAATTCCCACAACAGGCGAGAGTTTGTAATTCATTTATTAACATAGTAAAGTTCTTAGTCTTATGTTTTGGTTAACTGAAATGCTTTCATAAGTCCTACCATTGAGAAAACTTAACGGTATAGAAATTACTAAGCTTTTAAGATTCAAAGACCTACATGAAC